AGAGAGAGAGAGAGAGAGAGAGAGAGAGAGAGAGAGAGAGAATGAGAGAGAGAGAGAATGAGAGAGAGAGAGAAACACAAAGAAAGCCTTTCATTTTTTTTTTTATTGAGCTTTTCCTTCATTGTGATATGTTTATTGATTGATTTCGAGGTTTCTTTTTGTGAGGTTAAGTGCAAAACCATAGAAGTTGTTGAATAAACTCAAAATGGCCAACATGATGAAATAGGATTGAATGTAGGTTTCTATCTGAAGTATCACCCTACAACCCACCTTCCCTCTTACTTTGACAAGCCTATCGTTTATCTGCTTCAGAGTTTTTTTTCGTTTCCCCAAATAACTCTTCAATATGTAAGCCATATGATTTCATTCACGCATTCTTATTGGGTTATCAAGCTTAGCTGCAACCGATCATTTCCATCGTTCTCATCAAAATGAGTTTAATCACTACAGCAGCTTGTGCACGTCAGTTTGCACGTGAAATTAACATACAAAGAGATCAAACAGAAGAAAAAAAGAAATTGGAAGTACGATCAAACTGATGATAAACATAATCTTTGAAGTTTCAAACGCAATTGCCAGCTTACATTCCAATCTATAGAATGCTTTTCTTTATTTTTCTGTCATTTTTTCTTTTTGTTGAAAACCTTAATATCATATTTTGAGTAAAAAATTAACTAGAAAATGCCTTTCATTCGCCGCCTATTTTCTGTTTTTATTTTCTTCATCTTTCTTCCATGTTTCTTCTTTCCACCTGTTTTTCTCTTTTTATTAAGTAAAATGTTTTCTTTCTTACATTCAGCTTTTAAATATTTGTTGAGAAAACGTTTGAACTGCACAAGCTTCTACATTATGAGAAGCTTTTCCATATGGATTATTTGTGCCAGAAAAGTGAAAAAAGTCGTAAAAAATGTGTTAAAACTTTAAATTCCTATTGAAATCAAATAGATTTTCTAATTGAAATTGTAAGGATTTCAATTGTGTCTCGTTCCTCTAGTCATTCATTGAGAAATGGCATCATGGTTGTCTCAAAAGATAACAGAGCTCATGGAGATTCTTTATTGAATTATATCATTGTACTTTTGAAAAGACTAAAGAAACAATAGAGATAGAGAGAAGAAGTTAAAGAGATAGAGAGAGAAGAGAGTTGCAGAGGATTGGAAGGGAATGGAGGGGGAAGAACGGAAAAGAGAGATGTTGGAAGAGGAACAAGATTGTAAATGAAGAAAACTCAAAAGATTTGAGAAGCCTGATTGTCAGTTGTTACATTTGTCGTTCTGGAAGACCTCATAATCTCATTTTTCAGAGGTTGTGTGTCAGCTTTCAAACATTTAGCGCCATCAAAAATTAACAAAAATATTTGAAACAGACAGGTTTTGGTTTATTTTTTGAAACCGCAAAAAAAAATCTCTAAATTGAATAAAAGAAAAAGTTTAAAGCGAACTTCATCAAGTTTAGAAGAGAGAGAGAAGGAGAGAGAAAAGGATAGAGAGTGGGAGAGATAAAGAAAATGATGATGATTGAAAGAGGAGAGGAAAGGAGGGAGTAGGAGGAAGATAAGAAGAAAAGAAGGAAAAATCCGGAAAAACATTCACTGCTCGTCACATTCTCTTGTCTTGGCCTTACCCTCCCTAACAGCTTAGAGAGACACATGTATGAGAATAACGAAGGAGATACGCAACAACGGCCAATGAATCCAATGGAGCAGACAACTTCTTCATTGCCTTCTGGCTCATCTGAGTCCGAGGATTGTCTGGAGAAGACAAACTCAAGTAAAGAAAAAGATCAACAGAAGAGAATAATTCAAAAAAGAGAAGGATGAGAGGAAGCAAATGAATTTTAGAGATGAAGATTCAATTACGCATATCTTGCTGTTTGCATTGACTTTCTTATGAAAATAAGTGAGAGAGTAAAAAAAGAAATTTTTTCATTCTTCACTCTTATCCGCCTTCTCATTTTACCTCAGCTCGTCCTCTGGCTTTTGTTTTCTCGCTTTCCGCCTCAAAATTTCGTCTCATTTTCATCTTTGTCATCAGTCAATCATTTAAATCTGTTTTCGCTCTTCGTGTAATTATATTGTGGTGGTCATTCTATTGAACTCGAGGTACATTCGGGCTTAGCAGATCCTCAAAGTGCTAAAAACCTTTCTTTTCCCCTCTCTTTTTTTTGTCCTTTCCACTCTCTCCTCTCTCTCTCTCTATCTCATTCTCTCAAATAATCTGTTCTTGACCTTATTCTCTGCAAGCTTTTATCTTTCAGCTTTATGCCTTTCTATCCTCTTTTTGTTTGTCCCTCCATCTCTCTCTCTCAGAGCTTATCCCGAAGAGCTTTAAGCTTCATCTCTATCTCCTCTCTTACAGCCTTCTTTTTCTTTTTCTTTTCATCTCTTATTCAATGACTAGAACTACATACATGAATATCAGAATATTTGAACCGTTTTTCACACTTTGTCATCCAGTTTTTCTTGTTTTTCTATAAAACTTTTAAGTTAAGCGCTGCTCGCTCTTTATGCACCACAAACTTCAATAAAAAGGTCTGAAGGAGTGGTGTTTAAAACTTTTATCGTCTTTCTGACCATCCTAAAACGTTATGCTTTACTCCAGTATACTTACTAGCATCTTTATCGTTTTATTCTTTTCGCTTTCTCATGTCGCCGTCAACGACGACGACGTCTTCTTTCCTCTTCGTTGTCCTCCGTCGTTTTCGTTTTTGTCTTCATCAGTTCATCCTTTTCGAGGCACTGACAAGCTTTTTCGTATAAATATATACAACTAAGTATAGTTACATAGCATAGATGAAGCTATCTATCAATCTATCTTCTCATCCACGTACCGATGAAAATCTATGAAAATTTTTTTTCCCATCTCCTACTCTCTGCTTAGGTTGAAAACTGCATTGTTGGAAGAAATTTTCTCATTTTGTAGATACTTAGAGAGAAAAAAAACATTCGACTCAACTTCTAGACCCAGATTAACTTTCAATTAAACTTGTCCGATTAAACAAAAACTCATTCAGAAAAAAATATTTTTCTCGTAAAAATCCTTTGCGTGCTGGAGAATCATTTCCTCTTCTTGTTCTGCCCTCGACTCCTTCCCTCAGAATGGCAAGCGAATGAGATTGATGGTTTTGCAGGTTTTTTCCTGTAGTTTCGTGAAATTTTGAATATCCTAAAGTCATTTATATTCGTCATTTCGCAGAGTTCACACATGCACACTTACACATATACACACTTTCTATGATGATGATGACGATGATGAGCATTTTCGAATGAACTACAGCCCACTCGTCAAGCGGGCATTCATCAGATTTCTTTCTATTTTAACTGTTTAACAGCATAATTAAAGAATATTTTATGCATTTTTAGAAAGCGAATGTGATATTTCAATTTAAATTCAAATTATTTTTAGATATTTTCGAAACTTTGTGCGTTTATTTTTAGATTTTCGTCCCTGAACTCTCGTCTCATCATCTCTTCCCTCTCATCCCTCCCTCCCTCTCTGTCTCACTTTTTTCTCGCGTCATTTCTCTTTGGGATTGCATTACTCTCTTTTCTATCTTGCCTTGTGTTCCATCTTAGTTTTCTCGGAATTCTTTTGACCCCTTCTAATATTTCCTTCTCTTTCTCCTCATCTCTCTCTCACTCTCTTTCTGTTCTCTCCCTCCCTCTCTTTAACTTTCTTCACTTTTTTTTAGATTCTGTGAATCATTTTACATCTGAAGCACATCATTCTGTTTTCAATTTGATCTCATTTGCGTCTTTGAGCAATCCATATATCATTTTTGATACATAGAATTAAAATTTTCATTAAACTCTCAGCTTTCTCTCTGTCTTATCGAAACGTCATAGGCTAGCAATTCACGTAAGCTTCCTCAAAGATCATTTACTTACTTCTTCTTTCTTCTATTTTTAAGTGTAACGTCTACTAATTATTCTTTTCATGGAATTTTAAACGAGACATTCCAAAAATGCTTTTATTTCCTCATTTTTCTCTCACAAAAACCTTCATCCTCCCTCAAATGCAAAAAAAAAATTTTTGTCTATCAAAGCTTCATTCATTCATCGTTTGCTCCACACACGCACACACGCTCATACACTACTCACATACACACATGCTGCATATGGACCACCCCTTTCTCATTTCTACATTCATATTCATTCTTCCAACTTAAAACTCATCCTGCTAGAAATTCCAAATACTTTATTTTTTAATTATTAATTGTATAAATCTATTGATTATATAAATTCAGATGCATCTTTATCATTCTATATTTTTGAGATAAATTTATCAACTCCAATACAATTTACATCAAAAAAACATCATTTGTCTCTCTTCTTTCCACGAAAGCTCTCTTAGCTACATGTCGACAGACTGAACATGAAGAGACAGAAACTATCGAGAGAGGCTCATTAATTACCAGGAAAAAAGCATAAAATCTTTGATTTAAATTAATCTCTTTAACCTTTTTCTTTCATTCTGTGCGAAAAATAAAAAAAAAATTGTCTCAACACACACAAACATACACATGCATACACATGCATATACACACTTCACAATTCATTTACGTTTGACGAATTTTGAAATTTACGTAGACGTAATTTGCATATTCAAGCTTTATTCACTTGACAACCACGTAAATAAGTTTTTGGTATGCTTGTGCCTATATGTGAGTAAGTGTGTCTGTGTATGTGTGTGTGTGCGTGTGAGTGGATGTGGCTGTGTGAATGAGATGACTTGTGAAAAATTTTTATTTCCTGGTAATTGCAGTTGCACTGAGCGGTTGTCCATTTTACTCGTTAACTCACAAAATGAATGCAGACACTTTTCTTTTTTAGATTTTCCTTACTTCCTTCATTCAGCCACCATGCTAGTTCTCGCTTCCTTTCTCAGTTTTCTTTCCTTTCTTGGTGTGAATATGTTTGTTTCGTCTTCCTTTACTTATGCCTGTCCATGGACAATTAAGCTTTTTGACAATTTATTTTATCGAATTGAGCTTATTTTCCGTTGGCAACAAATAAATAATTTTATTATTTGTTGTTTATTTATTTTAGTTTTAAACATGGAAATGGTTCTCGTTACCTCCTTTGCTCTTCTCTCTCTCTTATTCTCTTTCTTTCTCTCTCTTTGTCCCTCTCATTTTTCTCTCTATTCAATTGGCAACAAGAATGGAAAAGCTGGGAGGAGTATAAGAGAGTGAGAGGGAGAAAAGAGGAAAGGTTCATTATAGTTTTGTAGAGCAGAAGGTTGTTCCTACTACGAGATTCTTTTGGTAATGCTAGTTACCTATGTTTTCGAATACTTAATGTTTACAATTCGTTCCTTCCTTCATTCAACTTTACTTCCTTTCGTTGGACTGTGTTGTTCATCATTGTCTCTGTTTCAGATCAAACGCTTTGAATGGGATGCTGATAGTCTCCAAATGGACTTGAATAATGAGGAAAAGAAAAAATTTCGTTGTCTATTTGGCTTTGCCCATGTTCTTGTATGTTTCAATAACCTTTCTGATAAAGCTTAGTTCCATATTCAGGCTGGAACTAAGATTACGATAGTTTATTTTATAATATGGAGTATACTGTTATCGTTTCTACCAATGCCTCCATATGCTTTATATTTTGGAATATTTGGCTTGATTATGTGTATAATAGCCTTATATGGTGTATTTATCAGAAATCAACATATCCTGCTTGCCTTCTACTTCTATGTTGTAAGTTGACATCTCTTCATATTCTTCGCAATCACTCATCTCTCCATTATAGGTAATTTCCTTATTTTTCCTTCTGATTCTCGGCGGATACTTCTTTCTCGTTAATATATTCGAGAAAGAGCGAGTTAAAGGTAGTTTACATATACTTCATCATCTCATATTGTATAATTAATGTATTTCAGAAGCATTTGGTCCCAAGTTCGATGATTTATCCATCCTTGGACACTTATTGGATGTGTTATTATTACTTCTTCATTTCTATTTGTTAAGTATTATCTGGAAATGTCGAAAGTATTTTCAATTTGTGGAAACAAATCAAAACAAATGTAAGTATGAAGTACATTAAGTTAAAACAAGAATACATCTCAGGTACGGAAGCTCTTCCCATGCGCGCAGGGAAATTACCAGATTTGGCGTGATCTCTTATATTGCTCATTTCTCATAAAAAATGTTCGACCATATTTCAATATATTTTTAGAATTTTATTCATTTTCATAACAAAATTTGGGTCAAATATACTTATTTCTTTCCACACGTTGCCACACACAGAAAAATAGTATTTTTTTTATTCATTTTTACATTTTTTTTTCAAATGAAAATTGAGTTGCAAAGTGAATTTGAACAAAAGCATTTAGAGCACTTCTAAATTGGGAAGGAATTTGATTGAAAAGTTAACAAAACAAATTTATTTTTAAAGGAGATGAACTTGTTGAGGGAAAGCTTTTAATGATCAATCTGAATGCTTTTTTTTCCATTTGTATAACGAAGAAATAAAGAACAAAAACGAAAACAGAAAGTTGAAAAAGTCCGAAAACGTTTGACCTTATTCGGCTGTCTATGATCAGATTCAATAAACTACTCATCTTCTTGATTGAAATTATTCTTTTACTTTCTTTTGTATTCTCACATACAAAATGATGAGAATCATGAAAAGACTGTAAATGAAATGAACACAATACAACAAAAAAAGATAACGAAAAGATGATAGAAAACGTACAGAAGACTTTTGAATGAATATTGAAGCCGAAACGTATTTTTCTTTTGTCACATTATTTCCAACGACTTAATTTAGTCGGAAAAGCTTTAGGACTGTTTGTATTCCGTCTGTCAATTGTCATCTTTATATTTTCTTATTTCACATTTCAAAACATTCATGAAAAGAAATTTTCATTCTTGATTTTATGCCTATTTAAATGTGCGTTAGGTTGTTAACTAGATACAATCTGAGTTTAGATAACTCTAACCTCCTTCGAAAGGGTTCAAGGAAGCTCCTCTTTCTCGAACTTTACTTGTGTGCATCATTACTTGTTTGAACGCCCTTACTCTTCTCGTCATGTTTCAACACTAAATGATTTTGAACATGTCCCATCTATAACTGATAATATCTGTGTTTTTTCTAATCAGACACAATTGATAGAATGAAAAGCTTGTAGTCTGTAGGCGTAGCTCATTTCCGTAACTAACAAATATATCAAGCAATGCTTCATCTAAGCTAAAACGTTCTTTTATTTCGAGCTTCAAGAAATGAGTTAGTGAGTGATATCATCAGACAACTATTTAATCAATGATCATCTATTTTTGATTTGATAAGATAAGACTAAGATAGTTTACAGATGGCCAATAGAATAAAAGGAAATGTTCTGATAACTGGTGCAAATCGAGGAGTTGGACTGGAATTAACAAAAAGTTTGTTGGAAAATCCACTTGTCAGAAAGGTTTATGCTGGCTGTCGGAATGGTGATCAAACTTCGGTTGATAATCATTTTCAAATATACAATATGATATTTGTATATTCTAGTCTCTCACATCATTAGAGGATCCATATAAGAAGCTCACAGTCCTGGAATTGGATATCACAAAAGATTGGGCTATTCGATCTGCTATCGAAAATATTACTAATGACTCAGGAAATTTGAATGTTCTGATTAACAATGCAGCTATATTAGAGCAGGTATTATCAAAATCACTCTTATTATCGGACTCTTCATTTCCCCTCTCGTATGACTTCTGAGAATCGGGTTGAGCTCAGGCTTCCCCCACCTCCATATTTCACAATTAGAAGTCATTCACCATGGCTACAAAAACGCAATTCGCCTCCGATTAGTGAGAGAGAAAAAACCGTTCACTTCGGCAAGTCTGAGCATTATCTCTCGCAAAAAAGCAAACAGTGAGCTTGTTTGTTGTATAAATCTTATATATTATATTACCCTCACCAGAACATCATTTAACTTTAAAGAACATCAAAAGAGTTTTCCCAACTGATAATTTCAGGACGGAAAGTCCGGGATCGGCAAAGGAGACAGGGTAGCTTGGCTGAAGCATTTTGATGTTAATGTTGTCTCACATGCGATGGTCATTCAGGTCAGTTGCTTTGATTACCAAACTGTTAGCAACGGAAAACGAACTTTTAAAAATTCCTACATCCTGAAGTTAAAAACATTCAGGTGTCGGTTCAAGGAACCTATGGAAGTTCAGAGATACTTTCAGCCTTTTTCCTATCACATTAAGTGACAGGACAAGTCTTCATGTGTTCTTCATAACGTCTGAATAGTATATATATTTATGATATAATTATCATAAAGCTGATTCATGCAGTTAAGTATAGGAATTAGCATAAGACCTCACGCGAGCCCCTTCCCCCACGTGTGTATCGTACATCTTATTCATTGGTGAGAACGATGGTTGAGCGGTTGCATTCAGAAAGAAAACAAAACGATCAAATTTCTTTTTTCAAAACTTCATATTTTCACTCTTTTTTATCATAAATTAAATTGTTTTTTGTTTCGTAATCCAAATATTTGGACAGTGAGGAGATACATGAACCCGTTGGTTTAACTGTTTACTTAAGTAATCAACTTCTTGTTCACCTATGAACTTTTCATTTTTGAAATGAAAAAAAAACGAGTTGAACAGAAAATAAAACAAACTTTCTCAATTGATTTTTGAACTTCGTTTGTTTTAGGAAAGTTTGCCATTATTAAAGAAGAGCTTAGAAATGCATGAGCTATCGACGATTGTGAATATTTCTGGACTGAAAGGTTCAATAGGAAATGGAACAAACACCGATCTCGTACATGGAAATTATGCTTATGGATGTAGCAAAGTTATAACTTAATGATGATTTTCATTATATCTATCATCACTATAGGCAGCTCTCAACAAGCTCACAAAAACACTCTCAATTGAATATCCATTGATTATGACTGTATCTATCTGTCCAGGATGGAACAAAACTTCAATGGGTGGACCACAGGTAGCTTTGTCTTTCGATAATTCCTTAAGAAAATAGATATTCAACCATGACTAGATGCAATAACAAGTATGTTTAAGGCATTGTCAGATCCACAGACAACTGCTCCAATCATTTTGGAAACAGTCAATGGAATGAGCATCGAAAACTCTGGTGGATTCTGGGATCGTAAAGGACGACCAATACCATTTTAATTATACTTAATGTTAACTATGTGTCTTTGTATTATATAATTAAAGAATAATGAAGAAAAAACAAATTTAATAATACCCGCACTGGCTGATTATAATTGGCATCATAAGAGAAACAGAGGAAAGAATATAAAGCATCTACAAGACGACGTTTTTTCCTGTTCAATATGGCTGTTTTTTCTTGAGATTCAGATATAATCGAAGAAAAAACGATTTTTGTGTTAATAAACCGGATTGTGATGATGTCGAAATTGATGATATGAGAGTTACAGAATAACCACATTCTATTTACTCTGATGACGTTGACGCTGATGCTGTTCGACCGTTGTTGGCCATTTCGACTTCAACTTCGATTCTGAAAACAGGCGTATTATGTATATGTGTAGGCATTATGAGGTCAAAGATTATAACGCAGAAAGTATATATCTCTGAGTTTTAAATGATTTTTTCGTTTCCATATGCTAACCTTGCCGGTGCGGAAGATGCCGTAGCTGAAGCTCTGTCTCCAGTTTCAGCTGCCTCCAAAGTAGCAATATTGCCCGTAGCAATTGAATTCTAAAAATAACGTCTTAAGAATTTAACCTCTTATTTGCAAGAGTATACCTGTGCGACAAGTGGTGGAGCAGGGGAAACTGGAGTTAAAGGAGCGCTTCGAATAGCTTCGTCGTATGAGGGTGGAGCATCGAATTTAGGATCATGAACTGCAGGTGTTATGTACATTGGTAAAGGCGATGTGGACGTTGGACGAGCAAATGATGTTCTATCTAGAGATATTCGGACACCAGTGGCAGTGCTTAAATGTCTCTGAAAAAGTTAAAAAATGGTAACTGAAACGAGAGATGTGGTGAAGCATACCGAACTGGATTGTGTTCGATCTTGCTGTCGTCGGGATCGTCGATTACTTACAAGCATACAGAACAGAGTAACAACTACACTCACGACAGCTATGGCAGCTTAAAAATATTTTTTAAATAAAAATATTTGTTTTGTTAATCCTAGAATTTCGAAAGTTCAAGTCAAACACTAGAATCGAAATCGACTTTCTGACCTCAAGAAGTGTTTTGTAAGGGCAAAAACGCATAAGACTCAGGTCTTAAAAGTATATTTGAGGGAGAATAGTAAGAGAGTTTCCACTTTCATACAAAACGAGCAGAGAAAGAGATTTTCCACTTTTAAAGTATAGAACAATATTATGAACGTAATGACGAACCAATAATTAAAACTGTCAAAGCGCCATTAGGAATTCCTTTGCTAGATCCTGTATCATCATTTGGTCCCATCATTTATCTGAAAGTTGAGATGCACTAGATGTTCTTGAAATTCAAGAATTATTTTTAATAATTTCAAAATGTTTTATTGAATTCTTTTTGAGCGAGTGGTTGACTGCGAAAAAAACGTTATGAACTGAGAAGTCAATGATTCCGGAAATTCGAAATTTCTGCCGGCAAGTTTTTATAGAAGAAGAGGGTAAAGGTGAAACATAAAAAGAGAAAGAGAGAGGAAGACTAAGAGAAGCATAAACAAACTCCAAATGATTAGAATAGAGGAAAGTTTCATCAGAATTGAGAGAGAGATGGAGAGATGAGAACTACAAAGAGTCAATAGAGATGAACTGGCGAGAGGTGATGAAAAAGAACTGAAGACGACGTTGCAGGTACGTGTGTAGCTACAAGAAGAACAGAAGAGAGTGGAAGAAATGAGGAGTGGAAAGAACAAATTCTTCAAGATGAAATAGGAAAGTTCCCAGCCGGAGTCATTTTCATGTGAATATTCATGAAGAAGAGGACGGTTTAAGATGATTAAATACTGATTAATCAGAAGCTTTTGATCGGACTGTTAAGCTGGTGTGATGAAATCGACGATCTCTTAGAGCAAAACGTAAAATGAAATTTGCCAACAAAATCGACTCAGATCGGAGCGACAACTGCACTTCAACGTCAACAATGCACCAAGAGTTCAGTAAGAAAAAATACAAAGCTGCCAATAAAAATGATTAAGAAAAAGTGACAAAACGAAAAAAATTCAAATAAAGGAGGGAAGAAGAGTGCAGGTGACGAAAGGAAAAAGTTATGAAACGATATACATACATATGTATGTTGGGGGAAGAGAGAAAGGTTGAATGGAGAAAGTGGTTGTGAAGACGTCGAGCATGGTCGATGAAGAAGTTGAACACACATAGACAAGAAGACAAAATGTTATCGAAAAATGCATGAACTACCAGTTTTCATCATATATAACTATAAATTCGATTATCTCTTCACAAAAGCCAGAAGATGAAATATTTTAATGAAAAGTATGAATTTGAGCAGACATATTCAGATAAGAAGAGTCATAGAGAATGATTTGTAAATCAAACATAACATCTAATAGATTGAGAAGAAGTTTGCTTAATAAACATAAACCTTCCCTTTTACACTCTTCAAGTATATCAAATAAGGAAATGTGTCTCTTCAAAACACAAAAATTATTGAATTTTTATTGTTTTTATCGTGTTTGAACAACTTGAAAAAGCTTTTTCAAAGTATTTTTTGTCAAAAAATTTGTTTTGAAAAAACTTTCCTTGATTTTACCTTGAAGGATCCTTAGATTTTTTTGTTCTGGTGAAGTTCCGGGAAGAAAGTTCAGAGAAATTAAAGAAAAATAACTTTTTGAAAAATATTTTGGTAGCGTTGGAAAGCAGACGAGTCAACTTGGTCTGAGAATGATTCCGATAGGAGAGAACAAAAAAATTGAGAATAACAGGAGGACTATGCGGAGGTTACAACCAGGAAGAGCTTGGAGAAGAAGAACCAGGACAGGCAATTGTGAAGAGAAATAGAGGGGAAGAGAAGGATTTGCAAATGAATATTCATATAGTAAGAGATACACTCATGTCTAAATAAGAGAGGAGAGGCAAATTCATGATGTATTAAAGATCAGAGAGGAGTAACGTCAAAAGTTGGCAGCATGACTCTTCTCCTTAAAGTAAATATACTCTTTTGGTCTCAGAAAATTGTGTTGTATTGCTTGCTTAACGATTGAGTCCAGAAGAGTGTGAGAGATGAAGAGAAATCGAGAGATAAGCAGAGAGAACGGGGTCATGAAAGCTTTACGTTCTCTCGTATTTCGCTTTTGTCATCTTTTTCTGGGTTTTTTCAGTCCCGTCAGAATCATTGCCTCACTTCCTCTCATAATGCCTCACTGTCTTTCAACACTTCTGATGAGTTCAAAGAGATGAGTAGAAGACATTAGGTGTTTCAAGAGAATGTCAACTTGAGATTCGCGAAAAAAAATAAATAAAACCATAAGTTAAACTGTCTCGGCCGGGCAGATAAATGATAAATCGTAAGTAGTCATTGATACTCGAGGGTTCAGTAGATAGGAAAAAAATGAAAGATGAAAATTCAGAGAGAGGAAGAGATAGAGAGAGAGAGAGAGAGAGAGAGAGAGAGAGAGAGAGAGTGGGGGAGAGAAAAAAAAAAAAAAAAAAAAGAAAA